GCAAAATCACATCCATCTGCAATAAAATGCAGAAATGTGTTTGCAAAAACTTCTAAAAAACATTAAACATCTTATCCACTCATTGGTGATATTTCAAAACACTCAGGAAATTTACTAAATATAGTCTAGAAGTTCTTGAATACTTCTAAAGTCTTTGCAAGTCCATGGATATGGATTCCAATAAAATGCAGAAATTCTTAGAAACGCTTTGGGAGTCTTGGAAATGGATTGAAATATTCTGGAAATCTACTATAAACTTTTAGAAATACTCCCAAAGTGTTTGCAAATCCACATCCATCTCCAATAAAAAGTAAAAACTCGTAAAAATGATTTGGGAATCTTGGAATTTCCTAAAATCTTTAAAAATTCATCAAATTCTAAAAAGAATCTTTAGGAAATGGATTGAAATTCTTGAAATTTCTTAGAAAATGGATTGAAATATTCTGGAAATCTACTATAAACTTTTAAAAGTACTCCCAAAATGTTTGCAAATCCACGTTTATCTCCAGTAAAAAGCAGAAATTCTTAGGAACACTTTGGGAGTCTTGGAAATTTTATAGAATGATTAAAAATTCATCAAATTCTAAAAAGAATCTTTAGGAATCTTAGGTATGTTGGGAAATCCTTGAAATTTCTTAGGAAATAGATTGAAATATTCTGGAAATGTGCTATAAACTTTTAAAAGTACTCCCAAAGTGTTTGCAAATCCACGTTCATCTCCAGTAAAAAGCAGAAATTCTTAGGAACGCTTTGGGAGTCTTGGAAATTTCCTAAAATGATTAAAAATACATCAAATTCTACAAGGAATCTTCAGGAACCTTAGGTATGTTGGGAAGTCCTTGAAATTTCTTAGAAAATGGCTTGAACTATTCTGGAAATCTACTGTAAACTTTTAGAAATACTGCCAAAGTGTTTACAAATCCACATCCATCTCAAAGAAAAAGCAGAGATTCTTAGGAGCGCTTTGGGAGTCTTGGAAATTTCCTAAAATGATTAAAAATTCATCAAATTCTAAAAAGAATCTTTAGGAACCTTAAGTATCTTGGAAAATTCTTGAACTCTGTTAGGAAATGGATTGAAATATTCTGGAAATCTACTTTAAACTTTTAGAAGTAGTCCCAAAGTGTTTACAAATCCATATTCATCTCCAATAAAATGCAGAAATTCTTAGAAACGCTTTGGCAGTCTTGGAAATTTCCTAAAATCATTAAAAATTCATCAAATTCTAAAAAGAATCTTTAGGAATCTTAGGTATGTTGGGAAATCTTTGAAATTTCTAAGGAAATAGATTGAAATATTCTGGAAATGTGCTATAAACTTTTAAAAGTACTCCCAAAGTGTTAGCAAATCCACGTTCATCTCCAGTAAAAAGCAAAAATTCTTAGGAACGCTTTGGGAGTCTTGGAAATTTCCTAAAATGATTAAAAATACATCANATTAGGAGTCTTGAAAATCTCCTAAAATGTTTAAAAATTCATAAAATTCTAACAAGAATGTTTAGAAACCTTGGGCATCTTTGAAAATCCTTGAACATTTTGAGGAAAAACATGAAAATATTCTGGAAATCTGCTATACATTTTTAGAAATACTGTCAGAGCAATTGCAAATCCACATCCATCTCCAATTAAATGCAGAAATTCTTAGAAACGCATTAGGATTCTTGAAAATTTCCTAAAATGTTTAAAAATTCATAAAATTTTAACAAGAATGTTTAGAAACCTTAGGCATCTTTGAAAATCCTTGAAAATTTTGAGGAAAAACATGAAAATATTCTGGAAATCTGCTATAAATTTTTANAAAAGCAGAAATTCTTAGGAACGCTTTGGGAGTCTTGGAAATTTCCTAAAATGATTAAAAATACATCAAATTCTACAAGGAATCTTCAGGAACCTTAGGTATGTTGGGAAGTCCTTGAAATTTCTTAGAAAATGGCTTGAACTATTCTGGAAATACTGTAAACTTTTAGAAATACTGCCAAAGTGTTTGCAAATCCACATCCATCTCCAAGAAAAAGCAGAGATTCTTAGAAACGCTTTGGGAGTCTTGGAAATTTCCTAAAATGATTAAAAATTCATCAAATTCTGAAAAGAATCTTTAGGAACCTTAAATATCTTAGAAAATTCTTGAACTCTGTTAGGAAATGGATTGAAATATTCTGGAAATCTACTTTAAACTTTTAGAAGTACTCCCAAAGTGTTTGCAAATCCATGTTCATCTCCAATAAAAAGCAGAAATTCTTAGGGACGCTTTGGGAGTCTTGGATATTTCCTAAAATGATTTAAAATGCATCAAATTCTACAAGGAATCTTCAGGAACCTTAGGTATGTTGGGAAATCCTTGAAATTTCTTAGAAAATGGCTTGAAATATTCTGGAAATCTACTGTAAACTTTTAGAAATACTGCCAAAGTGTTTGCAAATCCACATCCATCTCAAAGAAAAAGCAGAGATTCTTAGGAACGCTTTGGGAGTCTTGGAAATTTCCTAAAATGATTAAAAATTCATCAAATTCTAAAAAGAATCTTTAAGAACCTTAAGTATCTTGGAAAATCCTTGAACTCTGTTAGGAAATGGATTGAAATATTCTGGAAATCTACTTTAAACTTTTAGAAGTACTCCCAAAGTGTTTGCAAATCTATCTTCATCTCCAGTAAAAAGCAGAAATTCTTAGGAACGCTTTGGGAGTCTTGGAAATTTTCTAAAATGATTAAAAATACATCAAATTCTAAAAAGAATCTTTAGGAACCTTAAGTACCTTGGAAAATCCTTGAACTCTGTTAGGAAATGGATTGAAATATTCTGGAAATCTACTTTAAACTTTTGGAAGTACTCCCAAAGTGTTTGCAAATCCATGTTCATCTCCAGTAAAAAGCAAAAATTCTTAGGAACGCTTTGGGAGTCTTGGAAATTTTATAAATTAATTAAAAATTCATCCAATTCTTAAAAGAATGTTTAGGAATCTTAGGTATGTTGAGAAGTCCTTGAAATTTCTTAGGAAATAGATTGAAATATTCTGGAAATCTACTGTAAACTTTTAGAAATACTGCCAAAGTGTTTACAAATCCACATCCATCTCAAAGAAAAAGCAGAGATTCTTAGGAGCGCTTTGGGAGTCTTGGAAATTTCCTAAAATGATTAAAAATTCATCAAATTCTGAAAAGAATCNTTAGTAATCCTCAAAAATTCTAAAAGGAACCTTAGGCATCTTTGGAAATTCTTGAAAATTCGCAGGAATTTCAAAGAATTCCACCGGAAGTATTCTGGAATAAATTTAATAACTCTTGGAAATCTTCAAGATGCTCTATAATATTTGAAAATGCCATAAATCCTTGGAAATTAAATAAAAACTTGAAAAAAACTGAAAATCCTTGAAAACTCCAGAAAAATGTATGGAAATCTGTTTAAAAAGCTTAATACCACAAATACATCCCAAATAAATTCTTGGATATTACAAGCAGTTTTTAAAATCCTTGAACAATTTTTGAAATACTTAAAGGATCATAAAAATAACAGTTGCATCTCTTGTAAGAAACATCAAAAATCTTAACTCTTCGATTTTCAAAAGTCTTTGCAAATCGATATCCATAACTCGTCCATAAAATAACTAACTGACTAATTAATAAAGCTTAACAGTTTGATTTCCGTGTTACACTGACCACTTGGGGTCTTAGTTAACGCCCTTACGGGGTATTTAACACATCGTAAAACGACGCTGAACGTCGCTCGGGTTGCTGTGGGTTAGACGGTTTTCGGGGGATGTTTCCAATCCCCCACCAAAACACATACACGACCCCGTTGTCCAGGTCGATCTCTAAATCCACTTGACGCAAATTGCCCACTAAATTGAATACCGAGAACGATAAATCAGGGGGGCACACAATCGAAGGGGGGCGCCGAATAAAAAAAAAAGAGAAAGCGCCGCGCCGTCCACCACTTCCCTAGGTGAATTTATGTTAAAGTGGATTTATTATGCGGATTAGGGGGGCGCTAATGAATTAAGGGCGGCCCCTTTTTCGATGTGTTTACGCGAATTAACTTGTTAAGCGGAGGGTTTATTTCCGTTTCCTTTTTCTGGTCTTTTTAACGTACCTCTGGTTTTTTGGAGAAACGAAGAACGATTTATTGGCGGTGCCTTCGGGCGTTGTTTGGTCCACGTTTTAATTAATTTATTTATTCGATCGATCTTGAAAATAAAAAAGAATGACACAAAATTTGACATTTGAAATGTTAAAATGTCAAAATCAGAGTTACCAACTTAAATTGTTACAAAATTAATTGTTACTGTTAGAAATAAATAAAATAAATATATCGATTATTTATTACAAAAGATAATAAGTAAGGATAATAAGGTAAAAGATTTTAGTATTACAAATGGTAATAATAATATTCGCAGCATTCAGACTTAATTAATACTGTGAAAAATATTAATGATTTTTTTTATAAATGACGTTTAAAACGTCAAATTTTTTGTTACTAATTTTAGTATCTTATTTAAAAGATAAAAATAGTTGTGTTTTTCTTTCATTATTATCTTTTTCTTTTTTAATTTTTTTATAATGAAACCTTCGACCGTGATAACAACTCGTAGTTGCACGGAATGTAAATAGTGTAGATATGGAAAATTTTAAAACCTGCGTCGAGATAAATGGCGCAACTCGGGTACTAATTTTAGAAGCGACCTCCAACAGCAGCAACGAATTATCCCGCGGTTTATCGCCCTTATCTACGACGGTCTACACCGATATACGATTTTTTTTTTACGTAGTACTTGTTACGTCTCCGTTTTATGAAATGCACAAAAGACTTCTTTCTAATAATAGATAACTTTATCATAAAGTTAAGAAATCTTCATAAACACATCATTTTATCGCTTAAAATTTAAGAAATCTCTCATTAAATACATCTAAATAAGATTAAAAGCGATTTTTTAAAAATTAATTTAACGCCATCTTTTAGAGAAAAACCAAACTAAAAATACAGTTACCTATTTTAAAAAAATAAATAAATTTAAATACTTTTTATTATATTATCATTTTACATCCATTTAAATAAACATATTTACATCCCTTACCTAACCTACATAAATAAACCACCCAATTTTACTTTTCTATGTCGTGATGATAAAAAACTTCGTATTCCTCTCTTGAACAACTTCCATTATCAGGGTTAAAAACGTATTTATGAATTCCCCCATCCATGCAAATCGCTAAAAAAGATTCCTTTTAATCAACTTACTCCTTTAATTATGTTAAATTAATACCAAAAACAGATTTTTGTTCACCAAACCCACAAACACAGGGTCTTTCTGAACGCAATGTAAAATTTGCAAATGCCCATTGCGATTCCCCATATTGCCCCCCAATCATTCTTAAAGTGTTACCCATTCTTTTATTAAAATGCGTTTCTTTAATTGCAAAAATATGAACTGTGCCTTTATCACTCGAACAACATAAAAATTCGGAATTGGGGCTTATGTTTATACTAAAAAATAAGTTTTTTATTGATTTATTTATTATTATTATTAAATTACCAATAAATTGAAGCAGGATCGGTTCCTCTTCTTAACTCTAACAGTTGATTTCTCGTCCGTGTATCCCAAATTCTTATTAAAGTTCCTTTATTTGAAGCGGTGGCGATTTTTGTAGCTTGTAAATCCATTGCGATACATGCAATTGGATTTTCATGGGCTGCGATAAAAACGGGGGCACTCGAAGTACTCGATTCAATATTATTTAAATCCTAAAACGCATGATACTTAATAATTGATTAATTTTATACATTTTTATGATACCAAAATCTGTATACTTCCTGTTTTAAAACCTGGAAATACAGCAATTTGATACTCCGACATTCTACTTGCTGAAACCTCCAATAATCCCTTCCTGTTTTGTATAGTTGGTAAAGTAATTAAAAATTTCATCCGATCAGGAAAAGTAAAAATGTGCAATTGTGTTTCTTGAGCCACTAAACATCTATTGTGCGTCATTCTTACAGCAACGACATCCGATGAGAATTTAAGCTCCCCAACCACTTTATCCTGGTCCTTACAATAAAAAATTGCGTGATTTTTACCCAATTTCGGCTTACTTCCTCCAGGAATGTACATAATCGCGTTTGAACGCGAATAAATGTAACACTGCGATGCTGTTCCATAAGGTCGCGTTTCTAAATGGCACTGTAAAACGAGGGGCTCCACATTGAATATTTTTATTCCTCTTTCCATGCATGCAATAAACATGCTTTGATCCGGGTTAAAACGCAATGAAATTATACCACAATCCATTCTTAATCAAATCTAAAACTATTTATAATAAACTCAGTTCATAATCAATAAGATAAGTAGCGTTTAAACATAAATTAAAACGTTTTAAAAAAATTTATGTCGTTTTAGATTTTACACAAAGGAAAATAACAATGAAGTTAGCTACGTCAAAATTGACATTATGTCAGATTGAAATAAAGGTATCTGTATTAATTATTTATTATTATTAATGATTAATTAAGTAAATAAAAAGGGTTTTTATTTTATTTTTATTCTTAAATGTAAATATAAATAACAATGAATGTGGTTAGGTCAATTTGCTACATTAAATTATAATACACTTATTTTTAATAAATTTAACACATACTAGTCCAATCTCCATTTGACACTTTAAATAACTTAACTGTTACGTACAACTATTAAAATGGGTAATAAAACCCATAAAGGGGCCAAAATCTCCATGCATGCAATAAACATGCTTTGATTCGGGTTAAAACGTAATGAAACTACACCATATTCCATTTTTAATCAAATCTAAAACTATTAATAATAAATTCAGTTCATAATCAATAAGATAAGTAGCGTTTAAACATAAATTAAAACGTTTTAAAAAAATTTATGTCGTTTTAGATTTTACACAAAGGAAAATAACAATGAAGTTAGCTACGTCAAAATTGACATTATGTCAGATTGAAATAAAGATATCTGTATTAAATATTTATTATTATTAATGATTAATTAAGTAAATAAAAAGTGTTTTAATTTTATTTTTATTCTTAATATAAATATAAATAACAATAAAGGTGGTTAGGTCAACTTGCTACATTAAATTATACAACACTTATTTTTAATAAATTTAACACATACTAGTCCAATCTCCATTCGACACTTTAAATAACTTAACCGTCACGTCAATTATTAAAATGGGTAATAAAACCCATAAAGGAGCCTAAACTTCCATGCATGCAATAAACATGCTTTGATTCGAGTTAAAACGTAATGAAACTACACCATATTTCATTTTTAATCAAATCTAAAACTATTAATAATAAATTCAGTTCATAATCAATAAGATAAGTAGCGATTAAACATAAATTAAAACGTTTTAAAAAAATTTATGTCGTTTTAGATTTTACACAAAGGAAAATAATAATGAAGTTAGCTACGTCAAAATTGACATTATGTCAGATTGAAATAAAGATATCTGTATTAATTATTTATTATTATTAATGATTAATTAAGTAAATAAAAAGGGTTTTAATTTTATTTTTATTCTTAATATAAATATAAATAACAATGAAGGTGGTTAGGTTAACTTGCTACATTAAATTATAATACACTTATTTTTAATAAATTTAACACAATCTACTAGTCCAATCTCCATTCGACACTTTAAATAACTTAATCGTCACATCAACTATTAAAATGGGTAGTAAAACCCATAAAGGGGCCAAAACTTGATAAAGTTCTAATTCCAAGGTTTTATTGTACTCCAATTTGAGACAAATCATAACTTGAGCGGCAATTTTTAATAAAATAACCATTACCAATAAGTTGTTCTTGTTTTTGATGATGCTCCACAACATATCATCTTTGCAGTGTATGATTATATTGAATAATGCGTCAATTAACAGGATAACATCATAGACCCATAACGGTAGGAAAATTAAAAACCAATTCCAATGTATTCGAGTTTCAAGTTGCAAACAAAGCAGTATAAAGAAAACTAGGAGGATAAACCACGTTACTATTGCTCTGTGCATTACCATTTTTTAAAATTATTAAGGTTTTGAGGTGCAATTGAAATTGACAGATACATAACCTCGTTGTGAAACTTTTGACAGCTGACATTAAATTATAAAATAAATCAAAAATAATTAAATTGCAACGATTATTTTGAGAAAATTCAATTCTTATAGTGTTATTTATAATTAAAATTGGATATAAAATATAACTTAATAAAAGAATATATAAATAAAGTTAATCTAACCTCAATCATGTTTGTCACATTCATTTTAGCATCAAGTTTTAAATTATTACTTTTACCGGCTTAGTAAGTTAAAAATACCCTAATTAATGTATTAATTTAATTAAAAATTGTAGTCGTTCAACGGATTTTGAAGTGCATAGAAATTGGTTAGCGATAACTCATAATTTATCGATAAAAAAGTGGTATTACGAAGACACCTCGCAATGGACATTGGATTATCCACCTTTTTTCGCTTGGTTTGAATATTTGCTATCGTTTATAGCCAAATTTTTCGATCCAAATATGTTGGAGATAAAAAATTTAAATTATCAATCGTTCGAAACTGTTGCATTTCAAAGATTTTCGGTTATTTTCACCGATTTAGTGTATGCTTATGGGGTTAAAGAGTAAGAAATAGACGATTTAAAAGGATTTATTTAATTTTAATTTAACTTTTAGGTGTGTTAAGTTATCGAAAGTCTCTCAAAACGGGTTATTAACCATGTTATTGGTGTTCAATGTTGGGTTATTTTACGTGGATCATATTCATTTTCAATATAATGGAGTTATGTATGGAATTTTGTTGATATCAATTTCAAAAATGATTCAGGTTGAATTAAATAAAAGAAATAATTTGAATTTATTGGTTTTGTTTTAGGAGAAATATTTATTTTCGGCGTTTTGGTTTACTTTTTTGATTAATATGAAGCATATTTATGTTTATTTGGGTCCAGCTTATTTTATTTATTTATTAAGGAATTATTGTTTCACCAAAACAAAGCGGAAAATTAATTTTTCTGTTATTAATTTTATTAAACTTGGGGTAATTGTCTCTATGGTTTTTTTAGTTAGTTTTTTGCCCTTTTATGATCATATCCCGCAGGTGATTTATTAATTTTATTGATGAATTTGAATTAAATGGGATTTTTTAGGTTTTATCGCGGTTATTTCCGTTTAGGCGTGGGTTATCCCATGCTTATTGGGCCCCAAATATTTGGGCTTTATACAATACGATGGATAAAATGTTGGTTTTTGGTGCTAAAAAGTTAGATATTTCAGTTATAAATAATTCAAGTATGACAGGGGGTCTGGTACAAGATATTTTTCATTCTATTTTGCCAAATATTACACCTTTATACACAATGGCTTTAACTGCAATTTTTATTTTACCTGGAATGGTAAAATTGTGGAATGTTGATAAGAAAAGTAATGAATTTATAAGGTTTTTGGTACTTTGTGGATTAACTTCGTTTTTATTTGGATGGCATGTTCATGAAAAAGCTATTTTAATGGCAATTATTCCATTAAGGTAACAATTGTTCTTTAATTATTTAATTTAATAACTTTTTGTTGTAGCTTATTGGTTATTTTCGATTCAGAGGACGCAAAAGTATTCCTAATTTTATCAACAACTGGTTTTTATTCACTCTTTCCATTGTTATTTCCACAAAACTTAATGATATTGAAAGCGCTTTTATTATTAATTTATGCAAATTACTCTTTTTATAATTTTTGTAAATTATATCCCTTAAAATGCCTAAAAAACACTTTACCCTTGCTAAATTTATTTGAAACAATTTATATTTTCGGTTTTATCCCGTTGTTTATTTACGAAAACTTTATTCATTTAATTCTTGGTTTTAATCTAACATTACCGTTTTTACCTTTAATGTTAACATCTATTTATTGTGCATTTGGCGTTGTTTATAGTTGGGTGATTTATTACAGAAACTTTATGTTGAAATAAAAGATATATCTTAAATATGGATTATTTAGTTATTGTTAGTTATAATCTCAAAATGAAGTGTATTTTCGCGTTTACAAAATAACCTCAAAATGTAAATAACTTCTTTATTTATCAATACAAAGAATTAATTTATGTATCAAATTGAAGCTGAGGATGTCTTCTTTTAAAATCTATATAATATTAACAAACTTTATATAAAAAAGTTTCGAGAAAAATTAAAAAGTACGATGATGTTGTTCTGACAGCTTAAAAGTGGTTAATTTTCAAATAATCATAACTTCATTATTTATGAATGTAAAGAAATGATTTATGTACCAAAATGAAGCTGAAGATGTCTTCTTTAGAAGTCTATTTAGTATTACAAAATTTTATATAAAAAAGTTTCGAGAAAAATTAAAAAGTATAATGACATTATTTTGACAGGTTGAAAAGGGTTAATTTTCAAATAATCATAACTTCATTATTTATCAATATAATGAATTGATTTATGTATCAAATTGAAGGTGAGGATGTCTTCTTTTAAAATCTATATAATATTAACAAACTTTATATGAAAAAGTTTCGAGAGAAATTAAATAGTATGATGACATTATTTTGACAGGTTGAAAAGGGTTAATTTTCAAATAATCATAACTTCATTATTTATCAATATAATGAATTGATTTATGTATCAAATTGAAGCTGAGGATGTCTTCTTTTGAAATCTATATAATATTAACAAACTTTATATAAAAAAGTTTTGAGAAAAATTAAAAAGTGTGATGATGTTGTTTTGACAACTTAAAATGGGTTAATTTTCAAAAAATCATAACTTCCTTATTTTTGAATATAAAGAAATGATTTATGTACCAAAATGAAGCTGAAGATGTCTTCTTTAGAAGTCTATTTAGTATTAGAAGATTTTATATAAAAAAGTTTTGAGAAAAATTAAAAAGTGTGATGATGTTGTTTTGACAGCTTAAAAGTGGTTAATTTTCAAAAAATCGTAGTTTCATTAATTATGAATATAAAGAAATGATTTATGTACCAAATTGAAGCTTCAGATGTCTCCTTTCGATGCCTATATAATATTAACAAACTTTATATAAAAAGATTTTGAGAAAAACTAAAAAGTGTGATGATGTGTTGACAGTTTAAAAGTGGTTAATTTTCAAATAATCATAACTTCATTATTTATCAATACAAAGAATAGATTTATGTATCAAATTGAAGCTAAGGATGTCTTCTTTTGAAATCTATATAATATTAACAAACTTTATATAAAAAAGTTTCGAGAAAAATTAAAAAGTATGATGACATTATTTTAATAGGTTAAAAGGGGTTAATTTTTAAATAATCATAACTTCATTATTTATCAATATAATGAATTGATTTATGTATCAAATTGAAGCTGAGGATGTCTTCTTTTGAAATCTATATAATATTAACAAACTTTATATAAAAAAGTTTCGAGAAAAATTAAAAAGTATGATGACATTATTTTGACAGGTTAAAAGGGGTTAATTTTCAAATAATCATAACTTCATTATTTATCAATATAATGAATTGATTTATATATCAAATTGAAGCTTAAGATGTCTTCTTTCGATACCTATATAATATTAACAAACTTTATATAAAAAGATTTTGAGAAAAATTAAAAATTGTCATGATGTTGTTTTGACAGCTTAAAACTGGTTAATTTTCAAAAAATCATAACATCATTATTTATGAATAAAAAGAAATGATTTATGTACCAAAATGAAGCTGAAGATGTCTTCTTTAGAAGTCTATTTAGTATTAGAAAATTTTATATAAAAAAAATTCGAGAAAAGTTAAAAAATATGATCAAAAGAACATATTTTGACATCTTAAAAGTGGTTAATTTTCAAATAATCATAACTTCATTATTTATCAATACAAAGAATTGATCTATGTATCAAATTGAAGCTTAAGATGTCTTCTTTATAATATTAAAAAATTTTATATAAAAAAGTTTAAATTTTGGGTGATTTAAATTATGACAAAAACTTTATGTTGCAATAAAAGAAACATATTAATATAGATTACTTGTTAATCTTTATTTCTGAATTTATTATTTTTTAATAAATTTATACATATCGTTTGTTAATAGGGCAATATTCGGCGTATTCCTCCCAAGTACAACCAGAAGATCGACAACATTCCGCTGTAATTGAAGAACTTGAACGCGTGTTGTAACTTCGTTTGCTCCGTAAAAATGTTTTAGCCAATTTTTTAGGTATATAGGGATAAAACACTGCAACAAAAATGAATAAGAAAAAAACTTTTTAACTTAATCTAAAAGAAAAAGCTTAAAACTTACAAAGTTCAAAATTTTCTTTTTGTTCCATTTCCTGATTACGCTTTTGACTTCTTCTTCTAGTTATGCGGTAAATATCTTTTTCACAAGCCCAATATAAATGACTAACCAGAGTTTCACGACATCTTATAAACTTTTCTTGATGCCAAGCATCCTTCCATTCGGTTTTAGATCTAACGTTAAAGAGAGATAGAGATGGTAAGAGACAAAACGGAAATTACCGTTTATGATCTAAAGATCTAATTAATTAATTAATTTCCTCACCTTCCTTTGAAAATTAATTCCCAATCTTGGTGATTTTTCGTTGCGCCAAAATCAAATAAAACGCACAAAGCTATCGTTGATAAAGTAAAAAAACTGGTGATGACTGTGGTCATCCTTTTTCTTTGCATTAAAAGAAATTGGAGACCACTACTACCAAACTGAACCAGTTGATTCAGAGATCTGTGGAGATTTTCTCCACATAAGGTGGAAAACAACCTCTTCGAATCGGACAACATTTCCCCCCCGATTTCGGTCGGCGCAGACTCCCTTAACATCTTCAGTTGGTGATCTTTGCAAATTAAGTGGTAAATATCCGACCTACGTACGATCCGTACGATTGAGCAATAAATTTTCTTTCGAAACGTCTTGAAACGTTCATTAAAATGTCGAGGAAGTGTAATTTCCCAAACAATCTTTTAAACATTATCAAAGTAAAAATAATTTCTCGTATCCAAACTTATTTTATAACTTATTTATCTTACTTGATCCACCCCACATATTGTTTTTTCTTCTAACATCGTAAAAACCTAATTCACTAACCAAACACTCTTATTATTTATTACATATTAAATCCAGCTTCGTCATTCTATTTTTATAACTAAAGCTAATTAAAGATTATAGATTTTATATAAAAAAGTTTTGAGAAAAATTAAAAAATATGGTGTTGTTTTGACAGCTTAAAAGTGGTTAATTTTCAAAAAACCATAACTTCATTATTTATGAATATAAAGAAATGATTTATATACCAAAATGAAGCTGAAGATGTCTTCTTTAGAAGTCTATTTAGTATGAGAAGATTTTATATAAAAAAGTTTTGAGAAAAATTAAAAAGTATGTTGTTTTGACAGCTTAAAAGTGGTTAATTTTCAAAAAATCATAACATCATTATTTATGAATATAAAGAAATGATTTATGTACTAAAATGAAGCTGAAGATGTCTTCTTTAGAAGTCTATTTAGTATTAGAAGATTTTATATAAAAAAATTTTGAGAAAAATTAAAAAGTGTGATGATGTTTTAACAGCTTAAAAGTGGTTAATTTTCAAATAATCATAACATCCTTATTTATGAATATAAAGTAATGATTTATGTACCAAATTGAAGCTAAACATATCTTCTTTCGATGCCTATATAATATTAACAAACTTTATATAAAAAGATTTTGAGAAAAATTAAAAAGTGTGATGATGTTGTTTTGACAACTTAAAATGGGTTAATTTTCAAGAAATCATAACTTCCTTATTTATGAATATAAAGAAACGATTTATATACCAAATTGAAGCTTAAGATGTCTTCTTTCGATACATATATGATATTAACAAACTTTATATAAAAAAGTTTTGAGAAAAATTAAAAACTGTGATGATGTTGTTCTGACAGCTTAAAAGTGGTTAATTTTCCAAAAATCGTAACTTCATTATTTATGAATATAAAGAAATGATTTATGTACCAAATTGAAGCGTAAGATGTCTTCTTTCGATACATATATGATATTAACAAACTTTATATAAAAAAGTTTTGAGAAAAATTAAAAAGTACGATGATGTGTTGACAGCTTAAAAGTGGTTAATTTTCAAAAAATCATAACATCATTATTTATGAATATAAAGAAATGATTTATATACCAAATTGAAGCTTAAGATGTCTTCTTTCGATACATATGATATTCATAAACTTTATATAAAAAAGTTTTGAGAAAAATTAAAAAGTGTGATGATGTGTTGACAGCTTAAAAGTGGTTAATTTTCAAAAAATCGTAACTTTATTATTTATGAATATAAAGAAACGATTTATGTACCAAAATGAAGCTGACGATGTCTTTTTTAGAAGTGTATTTAGTATTAGAAGATTTTATATAAAAAAATTTTGAGAAAAATTAAAAAATGTGATGATGTTTTGACAGCTTAAAAGTGGTTAATTTTCAAAAAATCGTAACTTCATTATTTATGAATATAAAGAAACGATTTATGTACCAAATTGAAGCTTAAGATGTCTTCTTTCGATACCTATGTAATATTAACAAACTTTATATAAAAAAATTTTGAGAAAAATTAAAAAGTGTGATGATGTTGTTTTGACAACTTAAAATGGGTTAATTTTCAAGAAATCATAACTTCATTATTTATGAATATAAAAAAATGATTTATGTACCAAATTGAAGCTTAAGATGTCTTCTTTCGATACCTATATAATATTAACAAACTTTATATAAAAAAGTTCTGAGAAAAATTAAAAAGTACGATGATGTTGTTTTGACAGCTTAAAAGTGGTTAATGTTCAAAAAATCGTAACTTCATTATTTATGAATATAAAGAAACGATTTATATACCAAATTGAAGCTTAAGATGTCTTCTTTCGATACATATATAATATTAACAAACTTTATATAAAAAAATTTTGAGAAAAATTAAAAAGTGTGATGTTTTGACAGCTTAAAATGGGTTAATTTTCAAATAATCATAACTTCATTATTTATGAATATAAGAAAATAATTTATATACCAAATTGAAGCTTAAGATGTCTCCTTTTGATACCTGTATAATATTAACAAACTTTATATAAAAAGATTTTGAGAAAAATTAAAAAGTGTGATGATGTTGTTTTGACAACTTAAAATGGGTTAATTTTCAAAAAATCATAACATCATTATTTATGAATATAAAGAAATGATTTATATACCAAATTGAAGCTAAACATGTCTTCTTTCGATACCTGTATAATATTAACAAACTTTATATAAAAAAATTTTGAGAAAAATTAAAAAGTGTGATGATATTGTTTTGATGGCTTAAAATGGGTTAATTTTCAAATAATCATAACTTCATTATTTATGAATATAAAGAAATGATTTATGTGTTAAATTAAAGCTGAGGATGTCTTCTTTTCAAATCTGATAGAAAAAATATTAAATACTTTGACATTTACAAAATAATCTCAAAATAGTTAACTTCCAAGAAATCATTACTTCATTATTTATGAACATAAAGATGTGTATCAAATTAAAGGTGTCACCGAGAATATAACTTCAGTCTTCTCTGAAATAAAGAGAAACATTTTTTAATAAACATCTTTAACCGAACTAAAGCCATGTTAATATCAAAACCAAAAAGAATTTGTAAAATGAATGTTTTTAATAGTGATTAAAAATCTGTCAAGGCAAAATTAAAAATAGTGGGGTAACACATAATTAAATCGTCAATTTAAAACTAAAAATAAACTCTAAATCTTTTTATTAAACTTCCAACAGAAAAAAAATTTGAAATACACTCGTAGATGAACATCTCATTTTTCATTATTTTTATTATCTTTTTTATTAATTAGAATCAAAACGGATTGTACTTGTCGGTAGCGTAAAGGACATCTAAGGCTTTTATAAAAGCCCGATAATCCACTTCATCTCGCATCCCTCGTTCGTAACTGAAGCACTTGCAAATCATATCGAATTCAGTGCGCGATATCAAATTGTACATTCCTCTGATCGAAAGCGCTTTCAAGAAGTGACACTGAGATACTGTACCGCAATTTGTCCTATCATAATCCTAAAAAAGAAACAAAAAATGAAAATTAAATTTATTTATAGGGCTTATCCTCCTTATTATTTTCGAAATTTACTATAGAAAAATACTCGTACACCTGTTGAATGGAAAATAAACTACCTATATTTACGATAAATCGATCCGAGTATCGTAGGCGGTTCCGCGAAATCTCACGTTACTTTCGCGCCCTTATTAAAAGTTACGACCCTTTCGATAAACAAGATATCCACAATAATATTATTGTATATTTTTAATATTGTTTACCTGGAATATAGAGAGCAAATTCATCTGCAAATCGGGTTTCTTCGACAATTTTTGCATAGCTTTCGATAATATTAATCTCTCATCAAAGTTTAAGAAGTTCCTGTCGCAATCTTTAACAGGAATATGCTGCAAAGGAACTATCAAAGGTGCCCTTTCCAAACACGATTGAGTAAAAGCTTCTTCAACAGCTTCACAAAATCGAAGATAATCAACACACTCCTTCCTTAACGGTGAAGAAAATACATCCATTAACGTTTCAATTTCAGTTTCAGTCAATTCGAAACGACAACAATCTAAGCCACGTTTAAAATCGGCCCTTTTAATTAACAATTGATTACAACGATCGAAATCTCTTAAAAATTCTATGACACGGATTCGTTCTCGAACCACTTTTCCTTTTATTTTAGCCAATATTAACACGATGTCTTTTTCGTTTCGATTTGGTGGTGGTGGTTTACGCGGGGCGTTAAGTTTTCTCATTTCGGCTAAGAAACCGGTGTATAAGGGACCTTCGTAGGGTTTTGGTTCAATTTCTGTCATAAACCAATAATAATTAAAACCCATATCGTCGTTGTAACGCGCTTCCAAAGCGTAAACTTCTTCATCGGAGAGTAAAATTCCATTTGAAAGGATGCATTGACGCATTTGACCGCGAGAACAATGTCCGTTGTTATGCCTAAAAACAATCAAAATGATTAAGAGAATAAACAATAAAAGTACTCACTTGTCGCAATCCCTAAATATGGGTTTTAATAAAATTCTTCGCCTCATAACTTTTTGTTTCACCTTTTCGACGGCTTCTTCGCAAAGATCTCGCAATCCTCCTTTAACGTTGTTCCAAATTTCAGCCCCTTTTTTAGGCATTTCTTCAATTTCTCTTGGCGGGCTTTCGACGCAAAGACAAGGAAACTTTTCTAATTCCCTAACTGTAAAAACTTGCTCGATGTCGCTCTCAAAAGTTTTCCAACAAACCCTCATCGGATCGATTGGATCCCTATATTGAATCATAACCGATTGAATTTCAGGCAAAGACAAAAATAATCGCTGAATCCCGCTGATTCCTAAAGCATCCAATCCACGATGAAATTGCGAAATGGTTATTTTACCACAATTTAAGGCATCGAAATGCTAAAAATTGAATTAATTAAAATTAATTAGAAAGAAAATCATTTTCTTTTTGGTACTCTAAAATATTCTCCGACTCTTAATCGATTTTCTAAAACGTGCCTTTGAATCCTTTTGATGATCATCATTAAGTCTTCATCAACGCGAGGTCCTTTTAACGCCGGATGGAAAATGCTTTGTTTCCCAAAAATGCTTGAAGCCAAAATCTTCCCGATTTCAGGCCGGGGAAGTTTAGGAAGCTCAGCGTCGATTATCCGGCCAGGAAATTGATTCAAAATATCCTAAAAAATAAACACAAATTAAATTTTTTTTAATACAATTAACAAAAACAACTTACTCCCCCCACATCCATCATTCCATGTTGTTCCATAAAATTAGCAGCCGCATCAACAGCTGCTACAAAAGCTACATAATTCACCGTATACGAATCTTTTAAATACTTTTTAACTAAAAGAGTGAAATCATCAGCAGAAACGAGGATACCAAGAAAATCTAAAACGCGAGCGAAATGAGCTAAAGTCACCGTTCCATTATTTTTGGCAATCTAAAACAATTTAATTTCATTTTAAATTAAAAAAAATTAAATAATGTGTCTAGGTACACGCTAACGTGTACGCAAATTAAAAAAATTCACGTTTAGCGTGCGTATATTGAATATTATTCGGTACACGTTAATAACTTGGAAGTTTTAAGCTTGTATAAGTATTGTCGGTTTTGTTCTTACTATCTTAAGTTAATAATTTAATCATTCACTTTCAACAAAAGAGCATATTACATCGCACCCCGGCGAGAATAGTCGCACTATCAAAAAAATTATAAAAATTTATTCTTTATTCATTTATAGTTTTTACGCATAACAAAATGAATACTTTTGAGTTGTTCACCGTTTTCCCCATATGTAATAATAAAATGTCTGTCATATTTCTGTATCAACAATAATAAGTAGGTATAATTTTGTCGTAATAAGTTATAAATAATGTAAATAATACAAGGTCATCCACGACGACCATCCATTAGAACTATACAGGATTCTGGCCCTGGAATTATACCTTATGGGGATTGTGTCCCCATAAGGTATAATTGAGGATAAATTTTTGAATTCAAATTCCATCTTTTGCAATTAAAGTCTGGATGTCATAAAACGAAATATAACCAAGTTTTACGTCAAACGTCCTCAAACTACCAAAGTNTTAATTTTTTTAAATGGCACCCCCCATATTTTATTACTTAGTCGTCTACGGCGTCTCATTTTACATCTTTTATATTCCATATGTTCTATGCCTAACATTAATAGTTTGAGAAACAATTAGGGTTTTTTGAAGTCTGAATTCTCAAATTTTTATTTTCGCCAGAACCCCAGAAACGTCTAATGACCGGTCTCGCTGAGACACCCTGTAGTTTTTACGCATAACAAAATGAATACTTTTGAGTTGTTCACCGTTTTTCCCATATGTAATAATAAAATGTCTGCCATATTTCTGTATCAACAATAATAAGTAGGTATAATTTTGTCGTAATAAGTTATAAATAATGTAAATAATACAAGGTCATCCACGACGACCATCC